GGGGGTACAACCCAATTAGGGTTTCCTATATGTACTCACTTCATTCATAGTTCATCCATTCTCGTTCTACTTTTCTCATGGTATCGAGCAGGTTCCCTCGTGGGAACTGTTCCTAGGGCCCACCGTTTTTTTTTCCTGCCCGGAGCGCACTCTGCCCCTACCCGAGTCGCGCTCCCCTCTCTCTTGGCCCCTAGTGGCCCCTTTAGCCGCCCGTCACGGCCCTTAGACGCCCGCGCGCCGCCCGTCCCGGCCCCTTAGACGCCCGCGCGCCGCCCGTCCCGGCCCCTAGACGCCAGTGCGCCGCCCGGCCCGGCCCCTAGACGCCCGCGCGCCGCCCGTCCCGGCCCCTAGACGCCCGCGCGCCGCCCGTCCCGGCCCCTAGACGCCCGCGCGCCGCCCGTCCCGGCCCCTCGACGCCCGCGCGCCGCCCGTCCCGGCCCCTCGACGCCCGCGCGCCGCCCGTCCCGGCCCCTCGCCGCCCGTGAGCCGCCCGTCCCGGCCCCTAGACGCCCGCGCGCCGCCCGTCCCGGCCCCTAGACGCCCGCGCGCCGCCCGTCCCGGCCCCTCGACGCCCACGCGCCGCCCGTCCCGGCCCCTAGACGCCCGCGCGCCACCCGGCCCGACCCCTAGGCGCCCGCGCGCCGCCCGTCCCGGCCCCTCGACGCCCGCGCGCCGCCCGTCCCGGCCCCTCGACGCCCGCGCGCCGCCCGTCCCGGCCCCACGCCGCCCTACCTGCGGCCTACTCGCCGCCCTACCTGCGGCTCGCCCGCCGCCCTAACTGCGGCCTGCCCGCCGCCCTACTTGCGGCCCTACCGCCGCCCTGCCTGCGGCCCGCCCACCACCCTACCTGCGGCCAGCCCGCTGCCCTACCTACGGCCCGACCGCCGCCCTACCTGCGGCCCAACCGCCGCCCTACCTGCGGGAGCCGCCTAGCAGCAGAACCGCCGGGAGCCGAGCCGCCCTGCCGCCGAGCCGCCCGGGAGCCGAGCCGCCCTGCCGCCGAGCCGCCCGGGAGCCGAGCCGCCCTGCCGCCGAGCCGCCCGGGAGCCGAGCCGCCCTGCCGCCGAGCCGCCCGGGCGCCGAGCCGCACTGCCGCCGAGCCGCTGAGCAGCCGAGCCGCCCTACTGCCGGGCCGCCCGACCTGCCCTGTCCGGTGAGCACAGCCCCACTGTCACTGCGTGCCCTTCCCCTACTGCTTGCACTGCTCGTCTGTCGTCGTCATGGCTACCCCTAGTGTCCTCACTTTTGACGCTGAGGGTCGAGCCATTGACTTTGAGGTCTGGGTCGACGACCTGCAGCTGTTCTTACAGTGTGATAGGGCGGACGGTCTTTCCCTCTTTGACCTCACCTCTGGCGCCTCTCCTGCCCCTGCTACTGATGCTGACCCCACTGTTCGCTCTCAGTGGGCCACCCGCGATGCTGCTGCACGTCTTGCTGTGCGTTGCCACCTGCCTACCACTGAGCGCGCGCACTTTAGTCAGTACAAGAGTGCTCAGACCTTGTACGACGCTGTAGTTGCGCGCTACTCTTCCCCTGCCACTGCTGCCCTGAGCCGCCTCATGCTACCGTACCTCTTTCCTGACCTAGCTGCCTTTCCCACTGTCGCTGACCTCATTACGCACCTCCGCACTAGTGACACTCGCTACCGCGCCGCCCTTCCTGCTGAGTTCTGCGCCAAGAACCCCCCCCCCATGTACATCACTCTCTATTACATCGTCACACGCCTCCCTGACTCCCTTCGCGTAGTCAGGGACCACTACCTCTCGGTCTGTCCCACCACTCTCACTGTCGACCTCCTCGAGAAGTCCCTCCTGGCGGCGGAAAAGAGCATCGTCGTTGTAGGAGCCTCTCGTGGTGACCCTCGCACCCCCATCTTTGAGGGGTGTTCTCCTTCCCCCCTGCTGCCCTCTGTTGCCTCTGCTGCTGCTGCCGACCTGCTTGGTCTTGAGTCGGTCTGCGCGGCGTCTGCCCCTAGCGGGAGACGCCGCCCTGGCAGGGGCAAGGGGGGCAAGGGCGCGGGTGGAGCTGGCGGGGGCGATGGAGGAGGCGGTGGAGGCGGAGGAGGGAGTGGGGGTGGCGGTGGGAGTGGTGGCGGGGGCGGTGGTGGAGGTGGCAGCAGCGGAGGAGGAGGCGGCGGTGGCGGCAGCGGTGGGAGCGGAGGCAGCGGTGGTGGTGGAGGTGGAGGCAGCGGTGGCGGAGGGGGTGGAGCTGGTCGGGGTGGTGCCCCGCAGCGTAGCGGCCCTGGTGGTGGCCAGCGTCAGCAGCAGCAGCAGCAGCAGCAGCAGCGTTCGCGGGACATCCCCCCGCCCCAACAGCTCCGTGAGTGGTACACGCAGCGTCAGCGGGGTGGGGGTTTTGGTCCGTGCACCTACGTCCTTCGTTCCGGCGACCGCGCGGGTGAGCAGTGTGGGGGTGCCCACACCACCCAGCGCTGCTTTGCCCGCCTGACGGACGCTTGGCGTCAGCAGTTCCCCGAGGCCAGTGAGATTCCCCGTTGGGGAGAGCTGTCTAGGGCTGGCGTAGCTGTCTTTGATCTTGACTTTGATGCTATCCTTGCTGCCATGTATGCTGTGACTATTAGTGAGGAGGGTGACTGTTACCAGTGTCTCCCGCCTGACCCGGGCATTGGTACTGCTGCGCCAGGTACTTCTGCGGCTGCTGCTCTAGGTGCCAGTGCGTCTGCACTCTCAGGTACTGGTGAGGCTGCGCTCTCAGGTACTGCGTCGGCTTCGGCCTCCCTCACCTTCACACTTGACTCAGGGGCTTCTCGCTCCTTCTTTCGAGACCGCACCACACTCACGCCGCTTGGCCGGCCGGTTGCAGTCTCCCTGGCTGACCCCTCTGGGGGTCCTGTCCTCTCTCACTTCTCCACTGTCCTCCCGTGTCCGGCTGCCCCCTCGGGCACCTTGTCTGGTCTGTACCTCCCCTCGTTCTCGACGAACTTGGTGAGTGGTGCTGACCTGCAGGATGCGGGGGTTCACCAGTTTACTCCTGCGAGTCAGCGGGTGACCCACTGCTCGGATGACCGCACAGGCCGACACCTGGCCACGTTCTCGCGTCGGCCAGGGTCGAGTCTCTACACACTGACCACTGAGTCTCCTCCTGTCCCTGCGTCTGGCCAGGTAGCTGCGTCGGGTCAGGTGTTTGCTGCTGCGTCCAGGTCTGGTCCTGAGTCTGCCCCCTGCTCGTGTCGCCGCCTGTCTCACGAGACTCTCCTGTGGCACCACCGTCTTGGCCACCCCTCCTTGCTTCGTCTTCGGGGCATGGCTTCCCGTGTCCTTGTCTCTGGTCTTCCCCGGTCTCTCCCTCCCCTTCCTTCGGGACCCGGACCTTCTTGTGTCCCCTGTGTCGAGGGGCGGCTCCGGGCTGCCCCTCACTCCTCCCAGTTTCCCCCGACAGAGGCTCCTCTGCAGACGCTTCACATGGACGTGTGGGGCCCCGCCCACGTCCGTGGGCAGGGTCACGAGCGCTACTTCCTGCTGGTGGTTGACGACTACTCGCGTTACACCACAGTCTTCCCCTTGCGCAGCAAGGGTGATGTCACTGAGGTGTTGATCGACTGGATCCGCGCAGCTCGTCTCCAGCTCAGGAGGAGCTTCGGCTCGGACTTTCCTGTTCTGCGTCTGCACTCTGACCGAGGTGGAGAGTTCTCCTCTGGCCTTCTGCGAGCCTACTGTCGTGCACGAGGCATCCGCCAGACCTTTACGCTTCCGGACTCTCCACAGCAAAATGGGATTGCTGAGCGCCGCATTGGCATGGTCATGGACGTCGCTCGTACGTCCATGATGCATGCGGCTGCCCCCCATTTTCTGTGGCCGTTTGCGGTTCGGTACGCGGCGCATCAGATCAACCTTCACCCCAGGGTCTCCCGGCCGGAGACCTCCCCAGCTCTGCTGTGGACGGGGAAGGTCGGCGATGCGTCTGCGTTCCGTGTCTGGGGATCTCGGGCGTTTGTCCGCGACTTGTCTGCGGACAAGCTGTCCCCTCGTGCTGCTCCCTGTGTCTTCCTCGGCTTCCCCCCTGACGCTCCAGGGTGGCAGTTCTACCACCCCTCCTCTCGTCGTGTTCTGTCCTCCCAGGACGTCACGTTCGACGAGTCAGTCCCCTTCTACCGCCTCTTCCCCTACCGCACTCCTTCCCTCCCCCCGCCACCGCACTTCCTTGTGCCAGGTCCCCCCCCGGTAGACCCCCTTCCCCCTCAGGGTCCTGCCCCTTCAGGTGTGTCCCAGGTAGACGCAGTCGAGCCGGTCGAGGTTGCTGGTGACTCTGGTCCTGCTGCGGGTACTGAGCCTGGGGGTGCTGAGTCTGGGGGTGCTGAGCCTGGGGGTACTGCGACTGGGGGTGCTGAGCCTGGGGGTGCGGAGTCTGGGAGTGCTGAGCCTGGGGGTGCTGCGACTGGGGGTGCTGAGCCTGGGGGTGCGGAGTCTGGGGGTGCTGAGCCGTGGGGTGCTGCTACTGGGGGTGCTGAGCCAGGGGGTGCTGCGTCTGGAGGTGCTGAGCCTGGAGCTGCGGAGCCTGCGGCCACTGGACCTCCCCTTGTGGCGTCTGGCGGTGCGGGACCTGGCGGTTCTCCGGGTGCTTCGCCTCGGCGGGAGCCCCTCTCTCCACAGGAGCTGCGCGAGTGGTTTGCCCGGCGCTGGAGGCGTGCTGCTGGAACTGGAGGTTCTTCGGCTGCTGAGGGTGCTGGTGCCGCGGGTCCCGGAGGTGCTGGAGCTGGAGCTGCTGAGGGCGTTGGCGCTGAGGCTACTGCTGTCGGTCCTGGAGGCGGTCCTGCTGGGGGTGCTACTGGTGCTGCTGGAGGTCCTGGAGCTGGAGGTGCTGCTGGCGCTGGTGCTGCCGCTGGGGGTACTGGTGCTGTCCCTGCTGTGTCTGGAGTCGCCGCGCGGCCTAGACCGTACTTCGTTCCGCTCCTTCAGCAGGTTCTTGGTCTCCCGCCTTCTACTGGTCCTCCTCCTCCCTTAGAGTGTCCACAGCCTGTCCTGTCACAGTTACAGTTACAGCCGGCCTCCCCACTGCCCGCTCCTTCTCCCTACACTGGTCCTACTAGAGGTCTTGCTGAGCGTCGTGAGCCTGCGTCTCGCCCTGCGTCGCCTGTCCGTGCTGCTCGCACTAGTGGTCGTGGTTCGCGTCAGCGTCCTCCTCCTGTCCCTGGCACGCACCGGATGTCTCTGCGTCCGTCCACTGCTCCTCTGCGTGCACCTTTGCCTTCTCCTCCTGAGTCCTCTCTTCCTGCTCTTCCTGACCCGGAGTCGGACTCTCTTCGTGCTGCCAGTCCTGCTGTCACACGTCTCCTTGCTACTGTCGTCACTGACCCCTCTTTTGAGTCCACTGCTGCGTCTGCGCTTGTTGCTGAGCTCGTCGACTTTGCTGCTCGCTGTCGTCTAGACTACGCTGCCGGTCTTGTTGCTGAGTCTGCGTCTGTCTGTCCTCCGTCCGTCGGGGGTGAGTGTGCTCTTGGCACGGACGTCCTTGAGGACAGGCAGGAGGAGTTCCGGTGTCTGGCTGCTGCTTCACCTCATCTCGCGTCCGTACTACTTGCCCCTGAGGGAGACCCGGATGCACTAGACATCCCGACTCCGCGCTCTTACGCGGAGGCCGTAGAGGGTCCCTACTCCTCTCAGTGGCAGGCAGCTATGGATGCAGAGATGGCGTCCTGGAAGTCCACAGGCACCTACGTTGACGCGGTTCCCCCTCCTGGGGCGAACATCGTCAGTGGCATGTGGATCTTCAGGGTGAAGCGGCCGCCGGGCTCTCCACCTGTCTTCAAGGCGCGGTACGTCGCTCGTGGCTTCAGTCAGCGGCAGGGAGTTGACTACTTTCAGACCTTCTCTCCCACCCCGAAGATGACCACTCTTCGGGTGCTGCTGCACATAGCCGCTCAGCGCGACTACGAGCTCCACTCTCTTGACTTCAGCACAGCTTTCTTGCAGGGTAGCCTGCACGAGGAGATCTGGCTGCGCCGTCCACCTGGCTTCACTGGGACTTTTCCTCCTGGCACCCAGTGGAGCCTCCGACGGCCAGTCTACGGTCTCCGCCAGGCACCGCGTGAGTGGCACGACACACTGAGGACTACGCTTGCGGCTCTTGGGTTTGCTCCCTCTACTGCTGACCCGTCGTTGTTTCTGCGCACCGACACTTCTTTGCCGCCGTTCTACGTCCTCGTGTACGTCGACGACTTGGTCTTTGCCACAGCTGACACTGCTGGACTAGCCTACGTGAAGTCCGAGCTGCAGAAGAGACACACGTGCACAGACCTGGGTGAACTGCGCAGCTACCTTGGCTTGCAGATCACTCGGGACAGAGCACGCCGCACCATTACCTTGACTCAGTCACACATGGTGCAGCAGGTCCTTCAGCGCTTCGGCTTCACGTACTCCTCGCCTCAGGCCACTCCTCTGTCTACTCGCCACTCGCTCTCAGCTCTGCCTTCGGATGAGTCCGTAGAGTCGAGTGGCCCGTACCCAGAGCTTGTTGGCTGCCTCATGTACCTGATGACCTGCACACGACCTGACCTTGCATACCCTCTTAGCATTCTTTCACGCTATGTTGCTCCTGGGAGACACCGACCAGAGCACATGGCTGCAGCGAAGAGGGTGTTGCGCTACTTGTGCAGTACGTCGGGCATGGGGCTAGTGCTTGGAGGGCGGAGTCCAGTGGTCCTCACTGGGCACGCGGACGCTTCTTGGGCAGACGACCAGGCTACACAGCGGTCGTCGCAGGGTTACACCTTCAGTCTTGGTTCCGGCTCTGTCTCGTGGCGGGCTACTCGCTCGTCCTCTGTTCTCAGCTCCAGTTGTGAGGCTGAGATCTACGCCGGGGCCATGGCTGCACAGGAGCTTCGCTGGCTCACCTACCTGCTGACTGACCTTGGAGAGCCGCCTCGTTCTCCTCCAGTGTTGTACGTAGACAACAAGGCCATGCTGGCCTTGTGTCGAGAGCAGCGCTTGGAGCACAGAACGAAGCACATTGCTCTCCGTTACTTTCTTGCTCGTGAGCTGCAGCAGCGTGGTCAGTTGCGACTTGCGTACGTGGCCTCTGAGGCCAACACTGCTGATGTGTTCACCAAGGCACTTGCGCCTTGTGACCATCAGCGCTTCTGCACCCAGCTGGGTCTTGTACCTGTCTTGCCTCACTTGCTCTCTTCTTGACCTTGCTTGTACTGTCACATATATATACCTGCTCTTGCTTGTCTAGCTCTATATATATATGTGTACTCCTGCATGTGAACTGGCCCTGTTGCCCTGTCGTTGTGCTCGGACTGTGTGGTGACTTTGTGATCCACCCTGAGCTTGCTCTGCTTTGCTTGACTGGTCTTGTGACCCCTTGTTCTCCCCCACTTTGCCTATGGGGGTGTGTCAGAACATATATATAGCTTATGCTGTTGTGTAGGCTATAGTGGGGTATCCCATAGGGGGTACAACCCAATTAGGGTTTCCTATATGTACTCACTTCATTCATAGTTCATCCATTCTCGTTCTACTTTTCTCACGGACGAATCAGACGATGAAGAAGTTGACTCGTGCCACGTGCGACGACCCGACAACATGGGAGCAGCAGCTGCCGCTGATCGAGTTCGCGTACAACAATGCCATGTCAGCGACGACGCAACAGTCCCCGTCTTACCTGAACTACGGGCAAAATCCAACAGTGCCCATGACGCCGAGTCTGGACAACCTAACGCCACGCGCACACCAATTTGTTGAGATTCTGCAAGCTGCCCGCAACAGAGTCGCAGAAGCGAAAAAAAAAAAACAAACAAACAAACAAATGTCATCGCTAAGAGAAATGCTGACCGACACCGCCGCCCAGTCACGTACCAGTCAGGAGACTACGTAATGCTCGACACACAGAATTTAAGACTGCCCGTCATACCAAAACTTCAACCGCGATACTGTGGACCTTTCCAATTCAGCCACATGATCAACCCAGTCACCGCCCATCTATTGTTGCCGACAGACTGGTACATCAGCCTTTCGTTCCACATGAGCCTGCTTCGCCCTTACATCCCAACCACGAGCCAACTACCTCGTCACCGCCTGCCATCCATGACTCGCCATGCATCGGAGCCGATCGTTGAGCCCGAGAAAAATTTCAGCCATCGGATTCGACACCCCACAGGCATCAAGAGGATCGAGTTCCTCGTTCGCTGGAAGGACCACACGACAACTGAAGATATCTAGGTGCCCCTGGCCAACATTAAAAACCACCCTGCCCTACAAGTGTACCTGAGGAGCCAGGGTTTCCGCGATATACACGCACTTGCGTAGCGGAAGGGGCTTCTTGAGGGGGGGGGTCGGGGTAGTGTAAGGAATTTTATCGACATTCCTTAGTGCGACCATCAACATCGCGTACAGCAGCACCCGTTGTTCGCCCGTTACCGCTAACGAGGCTCTGCCAACTTCGCGCGCACTGTTTCACCAAACCATGCACCCCTGTCCCGGCCGAGTCGGCCTACGCTTCGGGGCTAGCCCGAACCTCGATGCTAGCGTAGCACTAGCTAGCTCGCACGCACCGCGTAACCGTTGCATGTATTCGCACATAAATATTCGCTCATGCCTTCGCTCAAACTTTGTATCTTTTGCCCACATAGTGCAATTGTCGCTATCTCATTCCATTGCACCCGTAACACATACCAGTAACGATGCTAAAACATGTGCAATGGAGTTAAGCGAGGACCACTGGCTAAAAGCGGTTTGGAAGGGTGGTGAAAGGTACTAGGAAGTGGTTTAGGGAGGAAAAGTAACATAGCCCTTTGGGCTGTATACTCTCCGAAGTTCGTGTTCAGCATCGAATGATCGATCATACTTTACATCGAGCCGTCTTTTAACCAATATCGATGATTACGACTCCCGCAATGACAGCCACGAATTGCCAGCCATGCCTGGCCTGTGAGACCTCGGCGGCGGTCATCTGTCATATGTCCCAACCCATGCTCGACACGTGCAGTCGATCCAGTTTTTGGAAAATTCGGCGCGGCACGCTCGACTCCACCAGCGAGAGTTGGAGAATTTCTCCAATGGATTGCCTTGCCTGCATCCACCTCTTGGGTCACCGCTCCCATAAAAAAAGCGGCTGCGCGCTACAGGCGTTGTGACGATCGATTCATCCGTTAAATCCATCGTGGCAGAACAGGTGCCACATCTTTGCGCTGAATCTGTTTCAGCCAATGCGTGAAGCCGATAGGGACTGCCATCCAACCAGAACCAACCTGAAGTGAGGCATCTATCTGAATGGGATTCTGCGAGCTGACTAGACTGAGCAGCCTCGGCTCCTGGGGTGGGGACAATCAAAGTCTGCACCTGTCACTCGGACGTTCGAGAACGACGAATCTGAGGCTTGTGCGACCTCGCTTGGTCAGGCTGATCGTTTCAAAAGTTCCATCCCGCGTCAACTCCTGCCCACTCCATTCCACCCCAAACAACCACTTTCAAACCAACCTCTCCATAATGTCTCCATTTCAGGCATAGGGAAGGAGCGAAAGTTTCATGCGACACAGCAAAATCCAGCTCAAGCCAATCTCAAAATACACTTCCTTCTGGTGAAATTGCTCAGGCGGGTTCAGAATCTATGCCTGGATGCGGCTCAATGAGACTTGGTACGATCTAGAGCGCTCTTTTTAAGTTGTAGAATGGTTGGGTTGGTTAGGAAATTTTGCAAAAGCGTATCGGGAATGGCCTTCAGCATCTTCTTCCCTTCACCACCACTCACAGTCGCCAGATTAGGTCGAGCAGGCTAGACTCTCTCTCTCTCGCACACATGGCTGCTGTCGGATAGTGCGCCTCCAACCGCCCTGTACCACTTGAGCTCAGCTCTGACGAGCTGTAGTCGAAACATCGCCACAACAACCACTAGATTGTGCTTTCTTGAGCCTCGTGCGCAGCCGCATTTTCAGTAACTTGGTTCCTTTCAAAAGGGCCGTCCAAAATAAGAGAACGATGGAGATAAAAGCAGCTGACGTCGTATTGTATTGTCGTATGATCGTTCTAGCGCTTGTTGAGTTCTCAGTGCGTAGTAACGCCGCCTATCAGAAACGCCCGGAGTCACATAACTTTTGGAGGTCCTCCTTACTACTTGTAAGGACTCATCAAAACAGGATCCGCCCGCTTCTTGAAACGTGATCCTTAAGTTTGGCCCGCCAGCAACGGGGGTCACTCCGAGTCGGCTGGAAATAGCTTCAGAGATTCGTGACCATTTCACGACATGCGCGTGACACCTTCACGACCTTCTAACCGAAGTTCAACCGCGGAAACTGTTTGAGTGTCGCTCCGAGCGTCCCGGCTGACTCAGCTGGGATGGCGGCCTCGGAGGCTGGGGAGTCCCCGAGACCGCCAGAATCGGCGGTGAGCTTGGTGGATATCGTGCGAGCTGACGGGCATCTGTGGCTGAAATACGGGCAGAAGAAAATCCTTAACACCTCAATCATACGGTAGGTTTTTGAACGCTTTTTTGGCTGCATGATTCTTCACATAATGTGGTGGTGGGGTAGGTATGACCATGATTTGGAATTTGCTGTATAATGCTATCATTCTCTTAGATCTGACTGTTCGATTTTCCAAATCCCATGGCTGCTGCAGGTGCTATTACAAATGCTTTTCCTCCAAGAACAATGGCCCCTACCGAGCGAAGAAGACTGTAGACTACGACCGCCGCCTCCCCATCTCATCCTCCACCACCAAAACCACCTACACCAACCGCACTCACAACCATTCTTCTCCTCCGAACCTCTCCGATACTATCGCCCAGGGCTCCTGTCCTTCCAACGCTGCAGAGTCGACCCCCATCCCCCAGGGATACCCCCTCAACTTTGCGAGACTGAGCTCCTGTAACCCTGATGCCGTGGTTACCACCAACACCTCCTCTCCCGACACCGCTAGAAACGGCCCTGAACAGTCCGCAATTGCAACGAACAACCTCTCAAGCGGGGAGATCCTTTTCAAGTTAAACCTATCAGAGCCGGAAGCGCCGATGTGTCTTCCTCATTTGAAGCCGGCACCGTTCAGTCCGACTTGCTATCAAATGCTGCTGACGCGGAAATTGCAACGACGCTCTTTCCACAAAGCTCCGATGTCACTGGCAGCGGAGAGTCAGCTGCTCTCGCACCGATGCCCGCGGTCTCGCTGTCTTTTCCACTCAGCTCCTGCGACTCGCTGGCGACTGAATGTCGGACTCTCAGCGACTTCTTTGACGACGATGCCTTACTGGATGGACGCTGTCAGACTTATATGACTTAGCCTGTGTAGGCTATAGTGGGGTAGCACATATGGGGTACAACACATTTCTAGGGTTTGTACTTGTACCCAACCTTTCCTCTAGTCAATCATTCCTCGTTATTCTCACATGGTATAGAGCAGGTTCCCTAGTGGGACCGTTTCTTCCTAAGGGCCCACCATTAATTTTTTTTTTTCCTAACCTGCCCGAAGCGCGCCTTGCGCTCTGACCTGCCCTACCCTTTCGCGGCCCCTTAGTGGCCTGCCCTGCTCCTGAGGCCCATCGCGGCCCCCCCCCCTTTGCGGCCCCTTCGAGGCCCCTTAGCGGCCTCCCTTCGCGGCCCCTTCGCGGCCCCTTCTCGGCCCCTTAGCGGCCCCTTTGCGGCCCCTTCGCGGCCCCTTCACGGCCCCTTCGCAGCCCCTTAGCGGCCCCTTCGCGGCCCCTTCACGGCCCCTTAGCGGCCCCTTCGCGGCCCCTTCACGACCCCTTAGCGGCCCCTTCGCGGCCCCTTCGCGGCCCCTTCGCGGCCCCTTCACGGCCCCTTCGCGACCCCTTCGCGGCCCCTTCACGGCCCCTTCGCGGCCCCTTCACGGCCCCTTCGCGACCCCTTCGCGGCCCCTTCACGGCCCCTTCGCGGCCCCTTCACGGCCCCTTCGCGGCCCCTTCGCGGCCCCTTCACGGCCCCTTCGCGGCCCCCCTCGCGGCTCCCTTCGCGGCCCCTTCGCGGCCCCGCCCCGCTGCCCGTAGCGGCCCCGCCCTGTCGCCAGTCGCGGCCCCGCCCCGTCGCCAGTCGCGGCCCCGCCCCGTCGCCAGTCGCGGCCCCGCCCCGTCGCCAGTCGCGGCCCCGCCCCGTCGCCAGTCGCGGCCCCGCCCCGTCACCCCTGCCCGCTGCGGCGCCCTGCCCTAACCCGCGCCCCTGGAGCAGCCGCCCCTGCAGCAG